TCATTACAATTTTTTTTAAAAGCCCATTTTTAGGCACTCCTCCCCTTTTTGAAAAAAAATTGTGACATAAAATGCCATGTTATCAGTGTTTGACTGACTTCATAGAATCATAGAGCTGGAAGAGACCTCAGGTGGTCATTAAGTCCAGCTCCCTGCCCAAGGCAGGACCAATCCCAACTAAATCAATCCAGCCAGAGCTTTGTCAAGCCAAGAATTAAAAACCTCTAGGGATGGAGATTCCACCACCTCCCTAGGTAACCCATTCCAGTACTTCACCATCCTCCTAGTGAAATAGTTTTTTCCTAATGTCCAACCTAGACCTCTCCCACTGTAACTTGAGACCATTTGCTCATTGTTCTGCCATCTGTGACTACTGTGAACAGCCTTTCTCCTTCCTTTTTGCAACCTCCCTTCAGGAAGTTGAAGGCTGCTATCATATCCCCCCTCACTCTTCTCTTCTGCAGACTAAACAAACCCAAATCCTAAAGTCTCTTCTCATAGGGGGCTCCAGCCCCCTAATCATTTTGGTCGCCCTCCGCTGGACCCTTTCCAATGCGTCCACATCCATTCTATAGTGGCGGGCTCAGAACTGGACAGGTGTGGCCTCAGCAGAGCCGAATAAAGGGGAAAATCACTTCTCTAGATCTGCTGGCAATGCTCCTCCTAATGCACCCTAATATGCCATTAGCCTTCGTGGCTACAAGGGCACACTGTTGACTCATATCCAGCTTCTCATCCACTGTAATCCCCATGATGTGTTGTTATTGTTTTGTAAAGAGGTGCTTCTTTTTGTGTTCAGATTTTATTTAAAACGCAGTGTATCTTGAAGACTAATCAATTGCTAGGTCAGTCTTTGAGAAAATGACTCTGGGATCACATCTCTCGAGAAATATGAATGTAGAGCTACGATGGAAGGAAGGCTCTGTATGATTCAACTGGGTGCTGCCATACCGCTGAGTGAGAGATGTTCTGTGAGGGAGATGTGTTGCTTTTGCTGTAGATTTGGGATGAGGAGCCAGGTCCAATAAGTCCCCTGACATCTTCAGAGCTGAAGCCATAGAAATTCATTTTTAAAAATATTGAATATGGCTCTAAGCTATTAGTAAGGGAGTGGATTTACAGACATGCACCTTCATGTTAACTTGACCGTCCTGTCACTCTCGTGAAGTGTCAGTCAGACTGGTCGTGTTTTCTACCATTTTGTGATTTTTATCCCTCGTTCTTGGTTGCCATTATGCCACCTCTTTATCAAACAGACATTTGAGGTCCCAGCTGCTGATGATCCTAAGCACAAAGTTCTGCTGATTGACATGGACTAGAGTGCGCAGCATTGCTTTGCCTAGGCTGAGAAAATGGGTGAATGCGCTCTCTGTTTTTCTCTCGCTCGCTCTCTCTTTCCCCCCCAAATCTGTCCTGAAACAGTTGAGTATCTAAAATGGAAGCACAGTTATTTTCTATGGGAATAATTGCTTGTGTCAACTGTGAAGGGGAAAGTTTAAAAAAAAATAAGAAAAGCCTCCAGGAAGCAAGGAAGTAAGTGATAAAAATAGGACATTTCCCTTACTGAATTTTGAAGCTCTATGACATGAGGTTTTTTCTTTTTTTTTTTTTTTTTTTAGAGGTAAAAATTGCTTTGTATAAAGCAAAAATAATCCTGGGTTGATTGTAATTGATTTCAACCTCCAATTAATATAACTGCATTTTATCCTGATGCTACCGTTTAACCTGGAACTAAACAAGACACTGGCATGAGAACAAGCTTTAAAGTACTCGTCGTGATTTCACAACAGGCAGTGAAATCTCCATATGTTGTAAATTCCAGCAAGGCAGAAGCCTGCTATAAAACTCGCACTGTAATTCTTGCTCATACTTGCTCTTCTTATTAAAGGAAACTTAATCCAAATAGGGCATGCAATTTACATAGTTTTGAGTGTATTGTAGGTATAATAATTGATCATGTTGATAATTAAAATATGCATTTTGGTTAGAAGACAGAGTATGCACCTGTGATATATTTTAAAATAATCGATGTAATATCAGTGTTGTGTGTGTATAACATAAAATTGTATAATGATAAACTAATTCAGCTATAATTGAGCCCCATCTGGTGGTGATATGAGGGACCAACTGATAAATTATTGCAATGGCAGAGAGATTGTTCACATAAGAGTGCAAACCTTTTTTCCCCAAAAAAAGACTTAAGTCTTAATAAATGTGAAGCTAATTATTTGGTATCCCTTTTAATCATAATATTCCTCAAAAAAGACTTGTCTTAATAAATGTGAAGCTAATTATATGGTATCCCTTTTAATCATAATATTCCTTTCTAATACTCATACCTTAAAACATTTGTCTTTATTTTTTGTTTATGTGTGTCTTGAGGGTTTGTGAATACAATCTCTTCTGTAATAAATATAAATTGTGTCATAAGTAGAATTGCTTGCCTGTGCTGCTTTGACTAGAAAGCCTTTTTGTGCTCTCTGATCCAAACAAAGACTCAACAAATTACTACCTATTGTAGAAAAAAGATTGACTTGTTTGTGTGGACTCATTAATGTAATAGACCAAGCTTGGTTAGCACAGTTTTTGCTCCTAGCTAAACTTTTGCTTTCATGGGACTTTTCCCCCTAAACACACAAAAAATGTGCATCTCACTGTCTCCTGAGTTGGCTGCTGAAGGATAGTAGGCAGCAGTCCTCTATGAAGACCTCAGGGTCAACATAATGTGCTTCAGTTATTATTACGCAACATGGTTACAGTGTGTAGCCACTGGGAATAAAAAGAACAAAGTAGGGCCGTAAAATGGAACATATGCCCAGGGCATAAATGTTTACAAGCAAATAGCTGGGTGTCTCCATCTTACTTAATGTAGGTTAATGATGTTAAGAGGCAGGTAATTGGCTAATGATGTAGTCAATACAATTGGTATCCACTACACAATTAGTCAAGAAGGGAAGTTGCTCTGTCCCAGGTCGCACCAGTCCAGGAACTACTCCTGCTGCAGCTCTGCAGCTTAAATGTAGTAAGAGCCGAGCATGCAAGTACCGTGGGACTGGGGAGGTGGCATCACAGAGATGGGGTAGGGGGAACCGGCTGATACAGAGGCAGCAAGGGTGGGGGAACGAGTAGTCGAGTAGTTGCTTAGTGTTATTGGGTAGTCAACTACTCAACTACTTGGTTACATCCCTAATCTAGGCTGACCTGACATCAAGGCCAGCGCTCTGTGCGTATGTGCATGCACACACAGTATATACACGTGGGCATACATCCACTTGTGGCCTATTAGAGTCAACAATTTCTACAGTGAGGTCTGGGATTCCACAGTACCTTTCTGTTCTAATTTATACAGAAAAATTGTTATCACAGAATGGAAAATATTGCCTTTTAGTGCTAAGCTGTGGCATATGAAATAGGCGCAGTAAAAGGTAATGCATGAATGAAATTCGTGACGCGCAAAGAATGGCAGGTGTGGGAATGGAAGTTAGGCGTTCCTGTCTCCTACTCTTGTGCATGTTCCCTTTGAAATGGGCTTTTGGGGAGAATGGAGCAGGATGTAGATTTCTTTTACCAGAGCCATTGGGAAGTAGATCCAGTTCGTTCAGGGGACTAAGAACTTGAATATATGACAAAGTTGCTGTGTGCACACAGTGCACTTTCTATCCAGCCCTCACGAGTAGATAAGAACTAGGTGGTATATCTTCTTATCCAGTGCATAAGGGAGGCGAAAGGGAACAATACCCATGTGCTATTCAGCAACTGCTGAGTGATTTCACAGAGGCTACATTATGAAGAGGAGTGGCTGAAGTAGTTTACATGGGGAACTAGTGCAACTTCCCGTTGAAGTGGTAGGAAAAGGAGGATCCACACAATAGCATAGACCTGCAATGCACAGTTGTTACACCCTTTGTGTCCCTACCACTTTGCGAAAAGGCGGGGGAGAAGTGCACTGTTTTCTGTTCCTTGGGATGTAATGCAGCAGTAGCTGCTCAGTTTTTAGAAGCTTAGGACAAACCCCATGTAATATCGACTATTTGTGCAGTGAGAGTTTTGGTGGATTGTAAGTAAGATTGATATTGTTTTCCACTGCAGCCCTCAACACTTCTCCATGAGACCTATTTCCATGCCAGAGTTCAACTTTTTTTCCCTCCCAGCTGTTTGGACTGTAGTGCTTTTTATTATGATTAGTGTAAGTTAATAAGTGGTGTTTTTGTATAAAAACATTTGTAATCATTATGACTGCTATTATGCCTGTGTGGTTATTAGGGATGTAAGCTTCCCCTCCTTGCTGCCTTAAAAAACTGGTTCTCTCCAGCCCCTGGAAGAGATCGCATGGGGGTAGCAGGGACTGGGCATGACCCTGGCTTGCACCCAGTCCCAGATGCTGCACCTCTGCTTTTTAAATGTATTAAGAGCCTGCCTGCTTTAAATACATTTAAATATCACAAGCACAGCGGAAGGACCAGGCGTGGGCCAGGAATCAGCTGTCCTGGCTTGTGCAGGGTCCCCCCTGCTGCGTTTCAGCCTTTTAAAAGTATTAAGAACCAGCAGCCTCTTCCTACATTTAAAAGGCAGAACCAAAGCAGGGTTAGCTCCTGGGGCTGGGAGGTAACTCCGCTGTGACTCCCCTGCTTATTGACTAGTCAATGGAAAATCCATTGACTCGTTGATTAAACAAATTTTAACATCCCGAGTGATTATGCCTGCTTACTAATGTAGGTTGGTTGTATGTGCAAGTCTGACTGTAGTCCACCTCTGGTTTAGCCATATTCAGAAAAAAACCAAAACAGGTCATGGTTTATGTCATAAGCATTGTTTAGTCATTGCAGCTATTTTATAAGGGTAGCTATTGAAGTCTGAACTGTTCAGTTGCCTATTACTATTTCCCTGTATTACTGAATGGTATAATCTAACTTTCACATGCAAAATTTGCTTTTAAAATGTATTGTGTTTGCATAGTCTTACAAACTGCTTAATAGTCAAATGTTTTTTTCCCCAAATAGAATATATACATGAGACATATGCTTGGGACTGCTTTATGTTTGCACTAGCTATTTTTGTCACAATGACTAATCAGATTCATAAGTGGTCCCATTCCTACTTTGGGCTGCCTCTATGGGTCACAGTTTTGCAAGATATGCACATCATTTTACCGAGGAACCACCACAGAATCCATCATGTAGCACCCCATGAAACTTATTTTTGCATCACCACAGGTAAATAAAACCTTAGAGAAATGTCTGATACTGTGGCGTATGGAGAAGAGGAAGAATTTGGAAAGTTAAAAAAAATGCATTCCTATTGAATGGATTATTCTAAACTGGATATTTTGTTTGGTGCTGCTTTCTAATAAGATGTGTTTGCTTTAAAACGAGAATTATCAAAAAAGAAATATATTATAAATCTGGTGCTTTCTAGAATGCGATGCCTAGAATTCTTTCTCTTTCATGCAAAGTTAGATTGTTAGAAACTACTCATAAATGAAGGAGATGTTTGTGTAACACAGTATTGTCATATTACAGGAATGGTTTTATGTAGTAGCATTCAACCTTTCAACTATTACGTGCATACCACAGATGGTAGTGTATTTGTATAACTTAATGCAATATATAATTGGCAATCAAATATTGCAGTTATGCAAAAAATATGTAACATACCTATGCTTTTATTAACACGTGTTCTCTGTAAATTGTTAGCTGTAATTTTAAATTGACTAGACATTCTATAAAAGGAAATCATGTTTTTAGATTGCTAATGGCTTCAAGGATAGCAGCTGCATATAATTTAGTGAAGCTAGTTTGCAGCAATTATGTGTTCTGGATTCTTTGATACTATTTTAAATGTATCCATAATCATCTGCTAAGTTTTTATTTATTTATTTCATTATTGATGATACCTTTGAAAATTTGTTTTGCTAGCCCTAATTTAAAGATAGATCTTAAATAGGGTACTTTAAGTGGAAAATGTGTAGAATGCCCACAGAACGAGTACTGAGATGGTGGCACTGAACTAAAAGTACAGTGATCTAGTGGTGCATAAAAGATTGTGAATGAAGCTCAGGAGAATATGATTCCCAGGCTACTAAAAGCTTGTCGTCTTAAGGATGTGATACAGAAGTACTGTAAGTAGGAATAGTGGGGGTAGGAGAAAGAGACTGCAGGCAGAGGGCATTAACATTGCTTTGCAACAACTCTTCAACATGTACTTTAAACATTATCATTAATGTATGGGTTGGCAGTGGCTTATGTTGTGCTTAAGAAGAGCAGTAATCAACAAGTTATAATATTTGTAATAAGAGGAAAGACAAAAAGAAGACATGATTGGAAAAATATTTTTAACAAACAACTCTTTTCCCTTCCAGGCTGGCTAAATTATCCCTTGGACAGAATAGGATTTTGGAGGAAAATGGAAAATATTATTGAAGCCTTAACAGGTCAAAAGCCTCGAACTGATGATTTACAGTGGGCATGGAAAATGCAATAAAGCACTATCAGAAAATAAAGAACTAATATGTATCTACAGGAAACAAGCTTCTTTTTAGCACAATGGATTCCAATCTCTGGCACAATGAGTTTATGAAAACTTCAAAATTCTACAGAGCATTGTTTGTAATGTTGACTGAAGAATTTGATGATTTGCCAGCTTGGATTTCAACCATTGAATGTAATTGCTAATCTTGATTGGTTTTAAGAGACTATTATGCCTGATGTTGTATTTGTTAGGACTTCTGTATCCTATTACTGTACGTGGGTGGATACTCACAATGCATCTGACTTCATAAATGCACCAAGAAATAAATAGAAACGTTAATTAACATAAAGTACTGTTTGGCTTCAGTATAAAAAAGATATATACATTGGCGTTGTGCCATTATACTGAAGAGTTTGTATTGTTTAATTTGCATGCTTTAGTCTAGGGCTAAAGAGAAAATATCATTGACTAGGTCTTTATTTTTAAACAGCCAAATTTTAAACTGTGTTTTGCTCATGATTTTTAAGCTGAGACTCCATTTTTGTTGCCACAGCTCTACAACCCCTAATGATTTGTTCATCAGTTTTCCTTTAGGTATAACATGTGGAGGCAATCTACTATTGACACAAAATCGCACCAATAGAAATGAAGCTCAAGTTTGAAAATTATGCCGTTGGTCCTGTTCAGTGCTAGGAAGTCTTCACTACTGTTCTTCTTGTTGTTAAAGGTTTTTATTTCAGAGGCTCTAGTCCAATTTCATTTTGTAGCCACTGTGCAGGAACATAGTGCCTACCTCAATGATCTTATGATCTGAATAGACAAGCAACATGTAGATAATGGGGTATGAACTAGGGTTTGAAATTCTTCATAATGAATGAAATCTTAATTTAATTAAATGTTTTGATTTTGAAAGGCATATTTCAGTGAGAGAAATATTTGCATCCAGGAGCCATTTGTAATATACTTATAAAATGAAAACCGCTTACTAACTTGCTAGAATGGGGCACATTGTGTGTGTGGGGAGGGGAAGGGGGATTAATAATAAGAAGCATATTTAACATATGTCTTTATGACCTGATTCTGGTTTCACAATTTTAGATGCCTGTAATGTCATTGATTTCTATGGAATTTTATCTGGCTGATGAAGAAATGAAAGAAAAATCAGTCCCTGTTTCTTTAACTTGGAATCTCTCTTTCAACTGCTGTCCCAATAAAAAAAAAAAGGTTTTTTATATGTTTGGGAAATGGAGCAGAATTTATGGTCAGAGCTGAAATGTAAGTGTGTCTGCCTAGCTAAGCTAATTGATAGCGTCCCTCCACATCTGATCTGTGATCTGCAAACATGGTCTGTAGAGACCACGGTTATAAAGCAGATATCCACAGATTTGCAGAGATTTACTGATTGGAAAGGGGCACTCATGCATGTGTTCAGTTCATTAAGAGAAAAGAGTAGGGGATTTTTCATTTGCAGAATCCTGAATAGCATTCATCTGCAAAATGGTACAGTGCTAGGTTAACAGTTCTGAACATCTAAGAACTTTGCATCTCTTTTAAGGTTAATTATCAGCAATACAGTTTTATGGTAATAATTCAGCTGTTCATTTTAGGCATCAGCCAGCCATGATCATGTCTGCAGCCAAGTTTCAGACTGAACAAAAATGCCTGTTGTTTATTCCTGTTGTCCTGAAATATTTTTCTCCTGGAAAATGGTCCCATATAGACTGTGAACTCGTTCTGAATGCTAGGAACAATTTTCAAAAGTAATTAAGTTCCCTTTGAAAATTAGTGACACTTAGGCACTTATATTGCTTTGGGAAAATGTTACCTACTGTGAACAAGTGGACAGGCTCAACCTATGTAGATGAAGTTAAAAGTGTTAACTGACTAACAGTCCCATATGCTAGGTTTCTAACCAGTAAGTCTGGTCCAAAAGGGCACCTGATAGTGTCCAGTCACATCTACTGACTGAACACTCAAATCCAGTTACTACAGATGGAGGAGCTGTTGGGTCATCATCTGTGTCAGCCCTACTCAACCAAAGCCTCGTTCAGCTTCACAGGTTAGTCCCTCGTGACCTGGGAGATGGTGAAAGGGAAACAGCATGTTACAGAGGGTGGGGAGAAGAGGAGTAGATGGGGCGGAGCCTCAGAGGAAAAGGTGGGGTAGGAGAGGTTCTGGGATTCCTGATGGAGTGTTTGTTTTTCTTTCTGCCAAACAGCAGAACAACCACTCTGGCAAAACCAGGAAACCAGTCACTAGGATTTAGGAATGCTGATTGTGGTTGGTTGACACAACTGTAGGGAGATGTGGAACACCCATGATTCCTGAGACGGGCCCTTGGAGGGTAACAGAATGTTGTCCTTGTGACACACTCAGGCTAGGTCTAGACTGTGAAGTTTTTATGGAAAAAGCTACGCAACATGCTTTCCACATGTTGCATAATTTTTTCTGCTTTTTTTTCTGGAAGAGGCTTTTCCACCATTTGGCTCCGTCTAGATGGGGCCAAATGGCAGAAAAGCCTCCTCTTTCAGCAGAGCCCTTATGCCTCTTGAAACAAGCTATACAGGGCTCCCTGAAAGAGCACGTTTGCTCTTCCACAAAAAAAGGCGGAAGAGCAAATGTGTTCCTTGGACACGACAGGGTTTTTGCTAAAAAAAACCCCCTGTAGTCTAGATGTAACCACAGGGTGGTTTACATAAGAACATAAGAACGGCCGTACTGGGTCAGACCAAAGGTCCATCTAGCCCAGTATCCCGGCAGCCGACAGTGGCCAGCACCAGGTGCCCCAGAGAGGGTGGACCGAAGACAATGATCAAGATTTGTCTCCTGCCATCCCTCTCCAGCCTCTGACAAACAGAGGCCAAGGACACCATTTTATCCCCTGGCTAATAGCCATTTATGGACCTAACCTCCATGAAATTATCTAGCTTCTCTTTAAAATCTATTATAGTCCTAGCCTTCACAGCCTACTCTGGCAAGGAGTTCCACGGGATGGCTACACGCTGTGTGAAGAAGAACTTTTTAAACCTGCTACCCATTAATTTCATTTGGTGTCCTCTAGTTCTTCTATTTAGGGAACTAATAAATAACTTTTCTTTATCCTCCCTCTCCACACCACTCATGATTTTATATACCTCTATCATATCCCCTCTGTCTCTTCTTTTCTAAACTGAAAAGTCCCAGTCGCTTTAACCTCTCCTCATATAGGGTCCGTTCCAAACCCCTAATCATTTTAGTTGCCCTTTTCTGAACCCTTTCCAAGGCCAAAATATCTTTTTTGAGGTGAGGAGACCACATCTGTACACAGTATTCGAGATGTGGGCGTACCATAGTTTTATACAGTTTGTTTTATTGTCTTTAGTTACTTATCTACTATGTTAGCAAAATTTTCACATTCAAGAGTTCAGACACGTTGCTGGTTTGTGAGTGTGTGTGTGTACATGTAGGAGAGTGAACGTAGTGTGTAACAGAAATTATAACTCACATTTCTGAGGAAAAGAAAAGTTAGAATTTTAAAAAACCTGTTTTGTGAGCAGACTAGTTTCTCTGTATTAGTAGGGTCAAGTCTGGAGGCTTAAAGAACCAGGGAGCTGCAGCTATTCAGAACCTTTCCTGATGAGTCCATGGGCATGTTGTACTCCCTTTGTGAATGTGTGCTGTAGCATACCACTAATGGCTGGGTTAGAAAAGCTATCTTTAGGGTTCCCTCTTATGGTTTGGTGTTGCTAATACAATTTTGTTTATTACTAATGTGTTGATAAGAGTTTTGAGTGTACTAAAAGGTTAGATGTAATGACAACCAATTGCAATCAAGTCTGAGCCAGTGGGAGTAAGTGAAATACAATATTACAATCAGTAGGCCTAATTTTGGTTATTCAAATAGCATCTTTTGATTCCAAATAGTCTTTTTTTAACTAATCACCATAATATTTTGAAAATCTGTGTAAGTTGTTTTCTCTTCTCTTTTCCAAAAAATCAAAACATAAGAAACTTTAAAGGATAGCAACAGATGGGAATTCATTTAATGTGCTGTTGTCATAACTTCAGATCATTACAAACTGATCTAAATTTAGGGTAGAGAATTTAAGCTCTACAGTGCCCTACTGAGGTTTGAGGAGAGAACAGTACTGATGTCGATTTCAGATTCCTTCATATGGGGATGAATCTCTATGTGAACTCCTGATTCCTTACATAACTGTAGCAATGTGTTAATATTGCTCTGTGACAAACGTAGGTATCTGCATAAAAGAAGAGAGAGAGAGCAAAAGTATCTCGAAAATGTCTCAAAGACTTTATGGCCAAAATTTCCATACATGATGTATAGCTGTAGGGACAACAAATCTGTCTTTAGAAAACAAGGTAAAAATTGTTTTAAATCAGTGGGAATTTGCGGGTGCTCAGCATCACTGAAAATCAGAACAGCTATTAAGTTCCCGATTTTAAGCATTTGTGTTTCAAAATGTTGCTCTGTATTTTTATATACAAATGAAACAATTTGCAAACTGCAGAATTTTCAAGGTGAAATTGGTTACGCTGTGCATCTACAAATTATTTTTTGTCTCAATGGTGCTGTATAGCAGTAAGTATATTTGATATTTCAAATGGTTCAAAATAGAAGTATGCTTTTTATGATCATTCATCATTTTGAACCAACCCTCGTTACTAGTCTCCATTAAAAGGTCATTTGCCAAAAGTTAACATACAATGCTACATGCAGTTATTTTCTGTGCAAGCTCTAGAAAATAAATAATTTGGGAGCATTGTATGCTAGCTGTTGTTGTGAGATGGTGACTTCTCAATTACACCCATTATACTTATTTTCATATAGCTATAAACTATGGGGAAGTTCTGTTCACTATTTTCACAAAACATTTTCTAACCTGCAGCTCAAAAATTCTTCCGGTCTGATCTGTGGCAGAGTAACTGTTTGTTTGAATTTTTCCTCTTCCCAAGCTCTTTCAAGCATGCTCTTCATCCTTCTTTCAAATGCTGGGGATCCAGAGACACTTTCATTGAGTGGAAGCTTAGAAAAGGAGAATTTCTCTCCTGTCACCGATAGCTTTTGCAAAGAGGGAAACATGGATATTGCCTCTTGCATGGAGAAAATGTTGTTATCCATGTAAAGCTGTCTTGCACTGCTATCCTTCTTGGAGACACTAGCAGTTGGGTGAGGATTATAAAAGCTGCCTCTTGGACCGTAAGTTCTAGCAGATCCTATCTGCATGGACACGTCAGTTCCACTAAAGGGTGTGAAATCCTTGGAGTGTTTTTGGTCTGAAAAAAAAATTGGAAATATTAAATGGCTTCTCTCCTCTCCTTCCCTCTCCCTCTGAAGGGAGGGACCATAGAATCGGAGCACCTAAGCCAAAATCTACACTGTCACTTTACAGTGTTGTAACTGTAAAAACACACCCCAAGCGCAGCAAGTTTTAGTGCTGTAAAGTGGTAGGGTGAAGGCTGGGAGCCATATTCCCAGTGCTGTTAGGCATTCCCCTCGTGGAGGTGGTTCACATAGAGCAGCCAGCACTCATGCTCTGGACACACTTTCAGTTTAAAGTGCTTCTGTGACTGTGCTTTAAACTTTTAAATGTAAACAGAGCCCAGCAATCTTTGCTGTATTTATCCTTTCAACACCCTTCTGATGTACGGAAGTGAGATTGCCTCAATTTCTCACCTGTAAAATGGAGACATAGAAAAATGATATGATGTGCCCAAGGCCATACAAAATCTGTTGTGGAACAAGGAATTTAAACTGGGGCTGCTTAGTCCTAGATAAACACTCCAATTATCTTTTCTCATTTATTGCTTAATAAATATTATCCATTTTAAGACAATTATATGTTAAATGCTGTGGAAAGCTGTAGAAATATAGATTTCCTGGCAATAGATGCCTGTTGACTATTATTAAGTATTTTGAAAATACAATACAAATCTGGATGTTTGAAATGTACTATCTCCAGGGTGAAGTTGACTTCAGTGAATCCACTTTTGCACGTTTCGGACCTGGTCTTCTGAATCTGTGTTACTTAGGAATGGAGCTAATGAAGGATGAAACTTCCATACAGCTATAATGGCAAATATTTTCTATTGGATTTTTTAAATAATCTTTCTGCTGTTGCTAAGTTAAACAGCAGTAGGTACTGTGGCTGTTGTTAAAAACATCAGTGTCTATCACTGGCTATTTACTGTTCTACATTTGACAAGCTCTGGTATCCGATAGCAAATGCTGAGGTTTGAATGGTAACCGTTTTTTATAAACTGTTAGTTTGTAAATAAGAACAGTATGTTTTTCTATAATCATAATAATATATAAGAGGGAGATTATTCTCTGATAAATGTTGAGTACATTAACTACAAAGCTTTTCCTTCTAAAATAATATTTGTGGTAGGAAAACAATGGAAGCTACAGAAGCAAATTCAGTGCTAAGGGTAATGTTGCCATCTGAATTCTCACAGGAGCTCATCTTGTAAAAGTTATTTATGCGAGAAGACTTTAGTCACACAAGTAGTTCCATTGACGTTAGTGGAACTCTTTGCCTGAGGGAGGTCTTCAGGATAAGGCCCATGGTTCATAAAGTTAAGGGGACCATAGAAGTTAGCTTTGGGAAAAACATTGGGGCCGTTTTTTCCTACCAGCTGTGAACATTCTGAATGCAAATCAGGGAGTTAAATGAGCAGTTACCCAATTCTCAAGAGCCTTTGCAGTGCAAATTCAAGACTTAGTTGTAACCTGTCTCAGACTGGAGCCATATGACATTTTTATTGTCCTATTTCTGAAAATATCATTAGACATTATTTTAAAGTTATTAAGCAGGTATGTTGTTTTGTTAAGGGGCCAAAATTGCTATATGTCTTTCAGGTGAAATACTGAACATAGTTAAGATGTTGTTCAGCTCTTTTATGCAATAATTTATTGAGGGGCCATACTAACCATAAAACACCTTTTAAAGCTGGTAGGCAAAATATACAGTATAAATCTTGATATTTTTTTACTGTGTCATCTAAATGGTTTACAAGAAACTAAATTGGATCATTCTGTAAATTAATTGCTTACCAAGTGGAATTTTTTATCTATTTAAAATTTACAAGGTGGTGAGTCTTAAATAGATCAACAATTTCAAACTTGTCTGCCTATAAACACACACCTTGATTCCATGTGCAGATACCTCAATAAAAAGTCTGATTTTAAGAGCTCTCAAATATGTAATTTCTGGCCTTATTTTTAACAATTTTAGGCTATTGTATCTTAACCAGTTTGGATAGTGTTTTAAAAAAAATATTATTATTTAACAATTCCAGCCATTTTCTTGGTTGAGGCCTAACAGTGGAGGATTTTTTTTTTTAAAAAGTCCCAAAATACAGCAAGAAATCAAACTTCAGTTAAAGTGTAAATCTAAAGCCGTGACACAGCCTGCAACAAAACCACGTTCTGCGGTGATTTACTCTAATTTAAGCAGGATTGGTCTGGAAGACATCTGTACAGTTTGAAACAATGGTATTTCAGTAGGTGGCAACTTGTTCTCTGAATGGGCATGTTAGTGGGCTAACCAGCATCAATGATCCTGCAGGTGGAATTTTGGAAGAATTGCAAAACCACTCTTCAGTAAAGATTGCAGGCCACATTTACACATTGTTATCTCCCCCAACGTCCTGGTCAAATTCCAGTTTGTCTACTTAAAATCTTGCCTGTGACCTGGCAGAATACTGGAACAGAGCCTTGTAACCTGAGCAGAATGAGGGGCTTAAGCAGGTGACTGAGGTGAGACAAGTGGAAATGTGATGGGCTTTTAAAGGATCATACAGACTTTGGCAAGCTAGAATGATCTCATTAGCAAAAGAGGGTGCTTTTGTCAGGCTATGCTGAAAGAAGGAGAGGAGGCATTTGATATGGGTTTAATCAGGCCACAACTTTATTAGATGTCTGAGACTACTCCAGAAGTAACATATACAGTGCAGGTAACCCTCCCTTGCTTTTCCCCATCATTAGGGGAGGATTGCCTTTACTAGTGCCCCCAGGTTCCCTTTTCCACTGAGATCTCTCCAGCAGATCCATTGCCAGATCTTTACAAAGACAAAAAGATGGCACAAGTGCCTGAAATGTGATATTTGATCTGTAGTGCAGCATGAATAGAATCCTTCTCATCTAGGTTTTTTTCAGGACAAAGGGCTGATTTTATGTCAAAGAACTTTCCCTTGTAAAATTATAACTAATGTAAGGAGGTGGAATATATTCTCATTGATATTACCTGAGGATAAGCCTTCTGAAACAGATAGCAAATGAGTGCTCATGTGACAAGGAGTTTCATTTGGAGCAGCTCCCCTTAGTTTTCATTCCCTGTTGAATCAAGCAAATGTATGGAAGACAAACAACCAAGTGCACTGGCTAAATCTGTGGGATGGGTCTTCATTTTTTGAGAGAATGCAAAAATATCCTATGAAATAATACTGTTAGGAGGAGAGAAATCTAAGCATGTGTGAGAAGGGGAAAAGTTGGGGACAAGGATGCTAGCAGGGAGGAGGCAGTGATACTCTATAGACAATGCCTTCATTCTTTTAGTTCTTAGTAAAAATCAAATATTTGCTTGCTCATCTGGAGAAAAATTAGTCAACATTATGTAAAAGATGAACCGGGCTCTGCACTCTGGCAACGGGTAAAGTCAGAGAGCACTTTGCAGTGTTTATTCCCTCCCTTGACAAATTGAGAGGCATGTGAGAATGGGGGGTAACGTGCATTGTTTATTCCCTCCCTTGGCAAATTGAGAGGCATGTGAGAATGGGGGGTAACGTGCATTTTGGTCGACAGAAAGAGAACATTTGCTCCCTACCAAAATGAATTCATCTACTGAGGCTGAGGCCAGAGTTAAGAACTCTTTGCTTTAATCTCTTACACTTTTCCTTCCTTAGCTTCAGGCCATTGCTCCTTGTCCTGCTATCTTCTGAGACTGGAGAATTCCCTTCCTTCATTTATATTACTATCTTGAAGGTATTTATAGACTGTGATCAAGTTCCCCTGAGTCTTCCCTTTTTGAGACCATATAAGTTTAGTTCCTGCTGTCTCTCATATCTCTTATTGTATAATTCTTCTATCACTTTTGTTGCCCTTTGAATTGTCTCTCCGAAACCCTCAATTATCTGAATCAAATACAGGGTCTAGATCCTAGAGCACCACATAGAGAAGCAGGTAAATTGGGTTTTGCCCACAAAAGCTTATGCCCTAATTAATGTTAGTCTCTAAGGTGCCATAGGACTCCTCATTGTATTATCACCCTACTTTACATTCAGTTCCCCAATATAGTCATCCAAGATCTGCACTGGCTCCACCCCTAGCCCACTGATATTATGTTGTAAATTCTAAATTTGCCATCTATAATCTATCATCAGACTTTTATTGTTGCCTTTATCAGAACCTTCCACTGCTGCACAAGTTCCACTCCTTAAAGCTGTAACTTCTATTTTAAATAGAGTTTCAGCTTGTTGCTTACTGCACACAATTCTTGACTTAACACGTCCCTTTGCTGTTTGGTATGCTCTCCAGTGATTTGGCTAGCCCTCAGATTTAGGCGTCTGGCCAGCTTGACCATGGTTGACTGTGTATTACCTGCTGGGTGGTTGATGATAACCACCATAAAAATAATATGCCCAATAAATATGCAGTCTGCAGAAGATACCTCTGCTCCATTTAGCTATAGGATGGACACTCTGAGCCAGTTGTCAGAAATTACCTGTGTGGTGGATGCTGTCACCCACAGGCAGCTGAAAAATGCAAGTGAGGAAACTTGCATATATAAACCCTGCAGGGAGGTGTTAACTATTTCTACTGCTTTCTCTGGTGTTACTGCTTGAAACATGTATGTGCAGATGTAAGTATGAGCTACATTACAAGGGCACAAAAGGCGGCCAGATGAAGAAGGTGAGCCTTGCTCATAAATCCTTTTTTTAATCCGGTGCAGGGGAGCTGACAGCCCCTGGGCAAGAGGAGGAACGGCAGGTGCAGGCTCTGCACTCTCAGAAGGGGCGGGGCCTTGGGCAGCAGGGGCAGGGCCGAAGGCAGCCGGCTCTCAGTGCTGCCCTTACCATAGTGGCCCATCCCTGCCCTCAGCGCTGCCTGGAGCGTGCAGCGTAGCGCTCTAGTGGCAATCTAAAGGTCAGGAGCTTGGGTGCCACTGTTGTGGTCAGGAGCCCCGGGTCAGTTGCTCCTTTTGTCCCCCTAGTGCCCCATTGGGCCTGATCCAGTTGATTCCACTGAATGGCATTTGAATATGAGCACTATAGGTTCAATCCTGCTGTGACATGTCTACAGCTCCTATCACTGTGGGAATCTTTTCTCCATTCAGATATTGGAACACACAAACACGAAGTATTAAGAGCACTTGTCACCTTGCAGGATCAGACCGTCTGAGAGCACTGACTTAAGTGACAGTGAACAACAGGGTAGGAGTTCCTTTATTGGGTTTGAATGGCAGGTTTCATCAAGGGACCTGCAGCATTTTGTACTGTACTCACAGGTGGGTAATCCAGTAAGAGAGAGAGAACACAATTGGAACACACATACTGAACAGCTTTTATAAGAGTACGGGAAGTTCTTTACAAGTTGAATACAGCAGTTGGAGTGATGGTACATGGTGAATGAAATGAGTTTGTGACAAAATCAGCTGTCAGATGTGCTTAGGTGTATTGAATAATAAAAGGGGCATCCAAACAACATGTGAATAGAAGGCCTCATAATTTTCAGCAAAACTCAAGGGCAAAAAATAGATACAAACTTAGAAAGAAAAAAATGGATTTCAGAAGCGTTCAGATCCGTGCTGCTTCAGTTACTTGTGAATGTTGTATAAAGATTGTGATCCTGCAAATACAGTTAACAGGTTAGTCATTCAGCATGTGATATGTCTACTTCCCTGTGTAGACAAGGCCTCAGGCACCTATCGTCTTGATGTCTCTCTCTCCTTTCGGATTATAGAACACACACAATTGGGATTTGCTTGATGTTTAGATGTTAACTAAGTGCAATTTCAAACCATTGGCCTGTTTATTAATAAAAGTAAAGCACTACATTTATGGGGAAAGATTTCTCATTGGCTAGAGCATCAAGGAAGCTTATTTTCAAAGACAAAGAAAGTGTCATTTTTCTCTTTGAACACTGCTTACTGGCAGCAGCTTTGACTTTGCTGCACCTGTCTGTTATGGGGTGGATGATAATCAGTAGGTATAATAGTAATTTAATTCATACAATATATATATAAAATATAATTTTTACTACATGCCTTTTCACTTTGCCATTTGTCTATCTGCAGGAAATCATTCTCCTGTGACCAGGTACTATTCCATTGACATTATCTCTTCAATATATTAAATGACAGAAAGAAGAAAAACTAATACTCTACTGCTCAGGAATGTATTTCTAAAACAGCCATTTGCTGTTTCAATAAAGCAGGGACGGTGTTCTCTTTTTAGCAGACTCAGAGAAACATTAATTATTGCAATAAGAAAAACAGAGTATGCTGTTTAAAACCTGGAAAGTAAATCAATCCTCGTTAAAAAAGGTATGAATGTTCTCTCCCTTACCACAACCTGGTCTTTTTGTTGGTAGTCGCAGAAAGCTGACAAAGTTGGGCAAATGGTCACCAAACTGGCTCCAGGGAGTTTCAATGGAGCCTCTCTCACAGACTTGTTGCACTTCTTGGTTTGCCGCTTGGTTCACTTCACTGGATGGTACCTTGTAAAATAAATGTTCACTATTCATATTAATTGCTGGTACAAGTAATATGTATATATGTAAAAGGTGGTTGTGTTTTACCAAAGCATGGAGTTACAAACCCAACACAAGCGCTTTGGATACTGCTGTTCAAAGGAATTAAAAAGCAGATTGGAAACAATTTTGGATTTCTGTCAAGCACACTGGTGTAGACCAGAGGTGCTGAATGATTAGCCAAATTATAGGCATCTCTATAGCTTATGTTCAGGACAAACCAGAGATGCAATATATGCTATTTTCTTTATGTGTATCTTTAATATACAGGCAGTCCCCAAGTTACACGGATCCGACTTATGTCGGATCCGCACTTACGAACGGGGCTTTCTCACCCCGGAGCTCGCAGGCAGCGGGACCGCCCAGTGTGCAGCGGTCCCGCCACCTCGACCTCTGGGGCAAGAAAAGCTGCTCCGGGTGCCCCTGGTCTGCTGGGGACCGTCTCCAGCAGACCAGGGACACCTGGAGCAAAGCCGGGGAGGCGGAGGGGTCCCGCGCCTCTGAGGCTTTGCTCTGGCAGACCAGGCTTTTGTTGTGGATCCTGGGGTAGAGCAGCTGGGGTGCTGCCGTGTTGGTCCTGCAGGGACCTACCCGGCCGCCCA